TGGCCTCCTCTGGACCCTCTCCAGGTTCTCCACGTCCCTCTTGAAGTGCGGCGCCCAGAACTGGACACAGGACTCCAGCTGTGGCCTGACCAGCACCGCATAGAGGGGGAGCAAGACCTCTTTGGACCTGTTAGTGATGCCCCTGTTGATGCAGGACAGGGTGCGGTTGGCTCTGCCTACTGCTTTGTCGCATTGGCGACTCATGTTCATCCTGGAGTCAATACTGACTCCAAGATCCCTCTCTGCTTCTGTGCTACTGAGAGGGACAGCCCCTAACCTATACCCATAATGCTGGTTCCCTCTCCCCAGGTGCAGCACCCTGCACTTGTCCTTGTTGAACCGCATCCTGTTCAGATCCGCCCACTTCTCCAACCTGTCCAGGTCTGCCTGGATGTGGTCCCTGCCTGCCGGTATATTCACTTTACCCCACAGCTTGGTGTCGTCAGCAAACTTTAACAGGGTGCTCTCCACACCCTCATCCAGGTCGCTAATGAAGATGTTGAACAGCACCAGCCCAAGGACCGAGCCCTGGGGGACTCCGCTGCCCACACCCTCCCAGGTCGACATCTACCCATCCACCACCACCCTCTGGGTGCACCCCTGGCACCAGTTTGCCACCCATGTGACCATGCATTCATCAATGCTGCAGTCCCTCAGCTTGCCCACCAAAATTGGGTGGGATACTGTGTCAAAGGCCTTCTGGAAGTCCAAGAAGACAACATCGACTTCCTCCTTCCCAGCTAAGCTCTTTGTTACCTGGTCATAGAAAGAGACCAGGGTTAGTGAGGCAGGATCAGTCTTGCACAAACCCATGCTGGTTACCCCTCAACATCACTTCCCCTGCAGGGCTCTCACAACTGTGGCCCTTGATAATTTTTTTAAAGACCTTCCCCAGGATAGAAGCGAGGCTGACTGGTCTGCAGTTGCCAGGCTCTTCCTTCCTCCCCTTCTTGAAAATAGGGACCACATTGGCCCTTTTCCAGGCCTCAGGGACTTAGCCCGAGCACCAGGCATCCTTGAACAGCTGTGCCAATGGCTCCACAATGCCACCAGCCAATTCCCTCAGCACACGCAGATGAAGGTCATCTGGGCCTGCTGACTTGGACACATCTAAGCCCTCCAGGCAGTCCTAAAGATGTTTCATTAAGACATCTTTACTACAGTAATTGAGGGGCACCTAAAAAGATCATTGGCTTGTATAATTTCCAAACAGAACTTTAGATGAGTAGCATTTACACAAAGTCAAACTTCAAATGCAACAGCAAACTAAAGACAGAAGAAGCAAGACCTTGTTCTGAGCCTCTTAAGTGCAAACAGTTCTGTAGCTTTATGTCTCTTTAATCCATCGTGGTTCTTGACAGAACTAGAGGCCCTCAGCTCTGGTGGTGAGTCTTAAGATAGCGCAAGTTATAAGCAGTCTTGTTTGGTGTACTAGTGACTACAGAACTGCTCAGCATCTCTGAAGTGCCAAAGCTATACTCCAATGAGTCATCTTGTCCTCATCTCTGCCCTTCTATGCCAGACTTGTAGGGAAGGCAGATACTGTTACAGTGGCTAAATACTGTTTAAAGAAGGCAAATCATTTTAGAGAAGCAGAAATTTTCATGTGGGTTAAAATACAGGCCCTCAAATTCCTTATGTAAAGGAACAGTACTAATGGAAGCTGTCAAACACAAGAACATTTTGAAAAAAAAAAAAACATGGATCAAACTTCTTTTTGGTCTGCGTTTTAAAATTAACCTCTCGAAAGACTCAGGGGGGACTAGAATCCTCAGCTCAAGACACAAATATGACCTTTATGCTTGGCTTAGGAAGAAGTACCTTCTCATTTAGAGGCAGGTGTTTATTTCCTTCCAATGCACTTAGAAGTATACCACAGTGTAGTTAAATACAGGCTGAGTGATGCAGCTGCTTGGTGTCAGTAAATTGTTGGTTTCATGAGTAAGGGTACATTTCACTTGTGATTTCAGCAGGGGCACAGGGATTCACTCTCAGGAAGCCTATTACAAGATCAATACTGAAGGCATTTCTAGATAGTGGTAGAAAATGAATGTTCCTTTTGCAATACATCCTACCCTTATGTTCACATATTTAATGACTGCACACTAAACAAAAATAATGAAGTGCAAGATGTTGTCATTTCAGATTACTGGATAAGTGGTCAAATCACTAGCCTTTCAGAAGCTAACATTCTTCATGCTAAATATGTTGAGGATACTATGAATAAAGAATGGCAACAGGACTTAACAAACATGATTAGTATTATCCGATTCCTTTGTTATAAATATATATATATACACATTCAGAATATCACATTAAAACATTATTCCGTATTACACCAAAAGAGATTAAGGCTTTATATTATTTACACAAACAAGCAAGCACCTAGAAAGAAAAAGAAAACATGAACCCCCCCACCCATTAACATTTCCCTTCTAGAGATAGATTTGATATCTTTACCTCTTGAATACAGCTATTTGCAGATGTACCCATTGCTAGATCTATTTTAACCATTGATTACTGGGCAGGAAACACTTGGTGGAAGGGCTATCAAATGAGCAGTCCAAATGAACTAATGCAAGCTTATGTGTTTACACAAATAGCATGCCCTCCCTCTCCTCAGAGATTTATTATGTTGAAGGCTTATACAGAATGGTTTGCTCAATTCCACATAAAAAAAGTTAGAACAATTTTATTTTTAAAAGGAAACTGAAGACACTTAAGGATCCTTTGCCCACTGGCAAAACGGGCTTTTCAAAGAGTCTGTTCCACACCACATCAATACAATTGAACGTGATTGCAAAGATGGAAATGCTAGATTTACCAGCCACTAAATGCATCAAAACAGTTTTGTTTGTTTTTATAGACTTCCATTACTCCACCACACTGTTTTCATGCAGCATATTGGATGGAACCACCTAGAACACAGCGATGAGGTACCTTCACTATTCCCCGGATAGGTCTTAGGCAACAAGCTACTTCTGACATGTTAAACAATGTTGATACAACACGTTTATTGAGCCACCGATATTAAACTGCAAGTGACAGTGCATAGTATTCTTCTCTGGCTTGCCTGACAGCTTTTATGAGACACAATGACGAAATATTTTCTAAGATAAATCAGCAGACATGGCTAAAATAAAAAAGGTGCTCAGTACAAATAACCATTTGCTTTTCAAGTATTGTTTTAAGGATGAGTTTGTGATGTTTTTTTTAATTGCAGTCTTTGTTAGCACTTTTTAGTTTGTGCTTTAGAGTGTTATTTCTTTGCAAGTCTTGAATTTGGCTGATGGCTTTTCTTTTTCTAAAAAAAATTGGCAAAGATGAGGACTGCAGAAGGCTGGCAAGAGTGTCATTTCATTTTCTGAGCCCAGTGCATGTCATCTGCTCTAGGCTTTTCTCCAGTGACTCCTTGGATAATGTTCTCCAAGCACCTCCAAAAGCCAATCTTTTCCAACGGATAGTTCAGCCAGCCTAATTATTACAAAAGGAAAAAGAAAATCAGTGTCTACTAATACAATTTAACTACATATTGCAATTTTTTTGTGCCCCCCCATGGATGTTATTCACTTTAATTGTGAAACAAGTCATTGAACCTTCAAGTAGTCAAATACTGACTAACAGTTGTTACAGAAGGCTATTAAAAGACCCACAAAGCTAAAAAGCAGGCTTGTTTATAAAGCACGTCATGTGTGCCATTACCACCTTGGATTTAAGAATTCCAAAGCTTACAGCTCCCATATCTCCAGTCCCAAGCCTTCATGAAGAACAGACTAGTCTAATGCAGGAACAGGCTATGAAGCGATTAGGCATCCCAAAGCCTCCATATGCCACACTGCATTTAGTGAATGAAGTGTGATGCTCTCTGTGGAATAACAGCATGTGCTGAAAGAGAGTGATATTTATTCTTCTTCATATTTGCTCCTCATTTAGTGCTTTCCTTATGAAGCCATGTGCACTGGATGTTAGGCAACATCCAATTTCAATGCAACTGAAAAAGGAGAAGGCTCAAACAGTAAAGCCATGCCTGAAATATTTAGGCAAGCTAAAGAGGCTGGTCTAGATATCTAAATATCTAGATACCTCTAAATTTGAGCAAGATTCTTGCAGTGAACCATAAGAGTGGCAGTTCATAGGTGGTTTCTATATGTATTGCTCTACATGTAGGAACCACTTATAAAAACTGTCACTTTTATGGTTTATTGCAAGAAGCTTGCTCAAAGAAACAAAGTTCAACTTACCAGTGGTAATACAGAAATAAGTCTCATGGGGAGACACATGGTGGATTCGGTGGTGTTTTCGTGGCAGTATGACATGCCAGTCTTGCAGAAAGATGACCCAGCAAGGCAGACCAAAGTAGGTGTGAGACCATTTGTGAATCTGGTTAGTTAAGGTTATAAAGATGACCAGGGCAAAGATATAACACTCCCAAGGGCAGGACTGGTACAGTGCTTCTGCAAAACAGAATTTAAATATGCTTGTCAGTTTAGATCACCCCCTCCCCGCCACTGAATCCCAATAGGGACTAGTAATGCCCTTATCGCACCCATTAATTCTGACATCCTAGCAATGGCTGACACCTCGGATATTAACAAAATCCATGGCCACGTTGCGTCAGCAGTAAGGTACAGACACCAGAGTCACTGAGCCATGAACAGTTCATTCTGTAAGGCACTCAAATTTTACAAGGTGACAGGGCAAGGAAAAAAACTGGTGTGCCACAATCATCCAAAATTGAACTCAATGCATAATAGTAACTTAAGCTCTTTATTCACTAGCTATTGCACAATTAAGCACAAGCATTTGAGGCTGTATTCACAGTCTTTGCACTTTAAAACATCTCTGTAAGAGTAAAATTGATTTTAAGCTATATTAAAAAAGGTCTTCATTAATTGCCCTAGATTTAAATATTCTTTTGTAGGGTTGGCAAACCAGTCAGTCGACCAGTCAAATGGCTGCTTTTTTTTTTTTTTTTTTTTGGGACTGGTCACAGATTATAGCAATTTTACGAAAAAAATGACACCCTACTTTTTCTGTAGTTTTCTTGGCAGAAATATTATTTTTACACATTTCTTAATGGAAAAAGTTGCGCCTTCTGTGCATTATTTGGATCTGTTGACAATTCTTTCTACAATTTTTGACTGATGTGCGACTAGT